TAGTGCTTAGTGATATGAAAAAAACAACTAGTGAAAAAATATATTTCACGACTACTGCATATCACCGCGAATATCGTATTTTTCACAGAGTATTACGCCACTTCACGTAAAACGGGTAAAACTGCGATAAATTTCATCGAGAAAATGCAAAACGCTAATGTCAACTACATGTGTTGGTGACAATATGAAAAAAATCCTGAGAAAATTTTGGGAAATTTTTCTTGGTTTCTGTACATTTCTACCCGAATTCATATGTACACTCCCCATTGCAGAGGAAACTACATAATATAAATTTTCTGAAAATTTACGCCAAGTCGTGCGTAAATTTTCATAATTCTTTGGAAACCCCCGGAGAATTCGGAAAACCGCAGAAAAATATACCCAAAATTTCAACCGTCAAGCTAATGCAAAACTCATGAAATCTACAGAAAAATATGCATGGTCAACTACATGCGATCGTAGCAATTTTATAAGGTGTTTATAAACCAAGTCGTGCGTGAATTTTCATAATACAGAAAATCTTTAACAAAAAAAATCTTAAATAAAGAAATTACCAAAATTTACCAAAATTACCAAAATTACCTTAATAAAGAAAATCTTTAAATCGTAATACCAAAATTTCGAAAATTAATTATTTCGTGAAAATTACATATCATCAGATGTAAACCATTTGAAATCAGCGTCCCAAGTGAGATAGCATTTCGACATGCCGCCTCCTCCACGGTGCTCTTCCCACGTATCGGGATCAAGATCAGTGATTGATGGTACGACAACACCTAAATGGAAATAATAATAATAAATTAATATTAATAAATTAAAATAATATTTAATAAATAAACTATTATTAATCACTTCTCACACGAATTCAAAATGGAAATCGAAAAAAACCTGTCGTGAAGAAATTTCTTCATTTTTCCCCAAAATTTTTTCCATTTCTTGATTATTTTCCATCACCGCTCTTCAACGATTCCAAAAGATTAAAAACAAGGTCGGAAAATATTTCATTCGAGCAGAAAAAAATTTCTGATTCTCCCGGAGTTTGACAACTTCTACTCGTTGTGATTTAAAAAAATACAAATCACAAAAACTGTCAAGTAATCGTTGAAAATTTTCATT